AGATAGATAGATAGATAGATAGATAGATAGATAGATAGATAGATAGATATAGATATAGATATAAATATTAGTCTGAACCTTTTTTGTAACCTTAAGAATAAAAGGCAAAAGTAAAGCCTTACTTACTTGTAAAATATTATTTAAAACTTTTGTGAGTGCTAGCCTCCTTTCTGTCATCTGTGAACTAACTTTGTTTAGAAACGCCAAGATTGTAAAGGACTGTTACAGAAGTCAGTTTGCCATATGCAGTAGAGGAAATGTAGTAGAGAAAATTACAGTGTCACATTATGCTACCCTGCTGTCCATTGTGGCTTCTGTTAGCCATTGTGCTCTTCCCTGAGGGGGGTTGTGTCTTACTCCATCTGTGTATTTCCACATTCCAGCAGGCACTCCTTCAGTGTAGACAGAAAGGAGAGACACATTCACAGCCATTCCTAAGGGCATAAGTTAACACTGGTCACTGTCAGATCATTTGGGGATTTTTGTTCGTTTGTTCTTAGATAACTTACTAAATTTGTTCTTGAACAAAGTTCATACATACATTATATATATATTATATTATGATTACTGTCATCCTTCAGCCTCTCTGAATCCCCTTAAGTTCTTTGCCCCTCTCTTCAATTTCCTTTCTGCCATTAATGCCTTTTGTTTTGTTTTGTGACTCACCCAGTTTAACTGGGGTCAGTTATGTTATCATGGGTTAGTGTTAGTTAGGATTCTCTAGAAGAACAGAATTTAGAATGTATACAGAGAGAAAGAGAGAGAGACAGACAGAGACAGAGACAGAGATGGGATTTATTAGAATGGTTTACAGGGCGTGGTCCAGCTAGTCCAACAATGGCTCTCTACCAATGGAAGATCCAAGAATCCAGTAGTTTAGTTCACTAGCCTGGATGTGTCAGTTGGTCTTCAGTGTATGTCAGAATCCCAAAGAAGTAGGCTCTAACACCAGTGGAGGAGTGGACTTGGCAAGCAAGAGCAAGCAAGCAAAGAGAGCAGGCTTCTTTATTCTGTGTTCTTTGTGTAGGCTGCCAGCAGAAGGTGTGGCTCAGATTAAAGGTGATTTTCCTACCTCAGGGATCCAGATGATAAGTGGGTCTTCCCACTTAAAATGATATAAATAAAAGAAAAATCCCTCACAAGTGTGTTCAGCCATTTGGGTCTTAGTTAATTTCAGATGTAGTTGAGCTGACAACCAAGGACAGCCATCACAATGGTTATGGAACTGAGCTATCCATTGGAACCTGGTAGGCCCCCCAGTGTGTAGACAGATGAAGACAACTGCTACCCTTCTTCCAAAATCCGTCAGTAACCACTAATTCAACCTGGCTGTTGGGACTTGATGAACCTCTTTGCTATCCACTATTACGGCTCAGTCTTGTGCAGGCCCATTGCAGTCAGCTGACGCTGCTGTGACATCATGATTACATCAACTGTGCTGTGTCCACAAGAAGCGCCCCACAGTCCTTCTCCCCAACATTCAGCTCTTACATTCCTTCTGCCCCTTCTTCCTAGGTAGTCCCTGAATCTTGGCATCCTGTTAGGGGCTGAATATCAACAATCATGTTCCTCAACACAATGATCAGCCATACATGTCTTTATTCACTGCCATTCATTGCAAAGAGAAGCTTTGCTGTGTCAGGCTAAGAGGAGCATTTGCTGGGACATGAGCAGCTGCCAGAGCTAGTATTAACTCTTAAGAGAACTATGCTCCTTTCTTTTTAAATTATTTTATTCTTTGAGATTATAATATAATTACATCATTTCTCCCTTACCTTTCCTTTCTCCAAACCCTTACACCTACCCCTCCTTGCTTTTTTTCAAAGTCATAACCTCTTTTAAATTAATTGTTACTAGCTGCAAATATATGCAATATGTAACATATACATAGTATATATACATGCATACATGCATACATATGTAATTTCTAAGCCTGCTCAGTAACCTTTACTCCTGTGTATGTTTTCAGGTTATCAGTCCAACAGTGGCTCTCTACCAATGGAAGGTCCAAGAATCCAGTAGTTGTTCAGTCCACAAGCATAGCTGTCTCAGCTGGCTTTCAACATTTGCTTCTTGCTCTTTTTCAAAGTCACAGCCTCCTTTAAATTAATTGTTATTACCTATAAATAAAATATATATAGATAACATATACATACTTACATGTATACAGACATACATGCATGCATGTATATTTCTAAACCTGCTCAGTAACCTGTTACTCCTATGTATGTTTTCAGGGTTGACCATTTGGTATTAGAAAACCAAAAAATAACTTTAAAATATAGCTTATAATTTTAAATTTATATCTGTCCTAAGAAAATGTTTTAAGTGATAATTATAAGTACAAATGATATAGTTTACTAATTCTACTTCTTTCTTCTAAATTTCCCAATTTATAGAAGTTCTTATTTTCTATCATGCCTTCCAAAAATTTTTTTTTTCTAAGATCACAAGTAACCATTGAGTTCATCTCAGAGGAGACAGAACAGGGCAGTTCACCCCTTTCTTTTTCTTTTCTTTCATTATGGATAGCAATATTTTGTGGGCTCCCATCTTCGAAGTATTTCTAAGACAAACAGACACTAGCTCAGAGCCGTGAGAGCAGTCATAAAGCCCATTCTGAAGGTGACCTTTCAGATAGGTGGTTGCAGTGTATCTGTTGGTCAGCGCAGGCTCTGGTGTTTTAGAAGTTACAGTTAATGCCTCAGATTAGAAAGGCAGTCTGTTACAGCCCAGATTACTTGTGTGAAAAGGTTGGTGGTGGTTCTAGTTGTTAGTCTGGGCTGATTGGTGGGTCACTAGTCTAGTCCCCACACTGAAGAACAGCTTCAAGTGAGGTTTTGTTTTGTTTTTAACATTTTACTTCTATTGCAATTGTGCCAATTTCTTCCCTTCTTGGCTACTGCAGTAACCAAAGAGAGTCCCTGCCTATGGAGTCTCTCACAGTCTCTTACCTGTACTCCAGTATATAAATAATCAAATGCACTTAGAGAGTGTGTGCTTATGTATGTACCTAATGTAGGGTGTGTATGTGAGTGCCTGTATGGAGGCCAGGGGAAGACAGCCAGCATTCTGCTCTCTCACTCTCCACCTTGTTTCTTTGAGACAGGGTCTCTTATTGAATCTGGAGCTATGTGGCAGCCAGCAAGCCCAGGTGATGCTCCTGACTCAAGCCACAGAGCTGTCTGTGTACTCCATCATGCAGCAGCTATGGTCAGGTGTGCATGTCTCTCTCTTTTTACATGACTGCTGGGATCCAGACATGCATTTTCTTACCCTCTGAGCTATTCTCCAGCTCAGTCGCCCAAAATGCAAAGTTGCATATGATTTTTATGGAAAACTTTTGTGGCTTATTATAGGTATAAATTGAAGCCTCATGTGCTAAATCTAGTATTTAACTCCTTAAACTGTGAACTCAACCCCAAATTCGTCCTCTTAGCTGCCTGTCAGCCTCCCATTGTCTCCATCTCTATCATCTTCCCAGAATGCAAAGCCTTCCCACATTGTCTCGTAGTAATTAACTCTAATGTCCCAGAGAACCTTGTACTATTTGTAGCACATAGTGGACCTACCACAGTGGGATTTTCCCCTGCTTGTTTCATCTGGAGGTTTGTGAATTTCTTAAAAACAGGAACTGCATCTTAGTCAGCTTGGTATTTCCATGTTCACCAGGATAGTGACTAGAGTTCACAAGTCATGTACACCTAAAATACTTTTAAAAACCAGGCTTAATGACATTTTTCTCAAAGTTTTATTATTCTGAAGGGAAATAAATGAAGAAGAATATTATATATCTCACCTTTAAAAGTCTCTGAGCATGGTTTAGGGTTTTATTTTAGATTCTTTTGGCACATAGTATAAAGGATGTCAATTTTATAGTACTTCATATAATTTTTATTGCTTTTCAGGTGCAATCATCTAATTAGTTTCTGTAAGCTACCTATCAATCCTTTCCATTTTAACAGTTCCATTACATTTGCTTTCAGATAAAGATGAGTGTCATACATCATCCAGTATGGAAGTTTCAGAAGTTGGAAGACATTTGCTAAGTGAAGTTACTTAAAGTAAGTCTGAGCCCCAGCTCAAATCTGACTTAAGAGCAAACAATAAAGTGACACCTCTGCCACTTTGTTACTGTCAAATTTCTCAAACTGCCAGAGCACCTTGGAGCTCTGTTGTATGTGAAGTCCATCTTGGGAAGTGGTAGGTCAGTAAGTTCTTAAATCCATTGTGCTGTTTTTAATACATGATGCCTGTGCTCTTCTGACATCCGTGGTGGATTCTGCTAAACCAAGCTTGCTCTTTCCTCTGTCTTAAGTCCCATGTGGCTTAGTTCTCTGTTGTGGTGGTAAAACATCATAGTGAAGACTGTTTATGCAAGAAAGAATTTGTTTTGGCTTATGGTTCCAGAGGGTTAGAGTCCATAATAGAAAAGCAGAAGCAGCAGGCAAGCATGAGGAAGCTGAGAGTTCACACCTTGAACCATAAGCATAAAGCAGACTGCAGAAGAGGAGAAAATGAGGGAGAGAGGACGAGAGAGCAAGGGAGGGAGAGTGAGAATACACTGAAATGGTTTGAAGCAGAGTCTTCCCCCCACTTTCTCTACAAGACCACATCTCCTAGACTTCCCCAAACAATGTTGCTAACTGGGGACTGGGTGCTCAAACACTTGAGCCTTGGGGACGGGCCATCCTTATTCCAACTACCATTCCATATGAAACCATGAAGTTTCAGCTTCCAGCTGGAAGCACTGGGCTTTCTTCTTTCTCTCTCTGCTGCCTGCATCTAGTGTTTGTTTTTATTCCTAAGTTTCCCCTGTGTTTTGCCATGTAGCTTTTTTTGTGGTTTATATTTGCTGTTCTAGGTTATCAGGTTATAAATCAAAGATCTCGCCTAATTTTTGTCTCCCACAACATTTAGCATAGCCACATTTAATAGTGTTCAGGAATACTCGCTTAGCAAACTAAGGATGCACTTGGCTTTTTCCCATCTTTCCCTCTGGTGCTCATTCTCATGGATACTTCTGATCCATGTTCATGGCAGCTAGTTATTCTTGTTAGTCCCTCCTGGCTGCTAGCTTAGCCTAGAAAAAATACTGAACATAGTACAATTAACAAGAAATGGTTAGTCCCAGCCTCAGAAATAATCTTTATCACAGAAGTTCATGTATAATCTGTTGTTTGGAATGCAGAAGGCATTTTTCCACAAAACAATGTTAAAACTAGTGGTTAGTAGTTTCTTAGCCAGCACTCCCAGGACTGTTTAGCTCAGATGTACCAGTGCTACTCTAACGCTAGGCAACTGCCATTTATTGTGCTGTTTTGTGGAGAAGCTATACCTCTGTGTCTCGAAGGCTGTAGATCTGGGTCAGGGACTTGATGGGCTGAGCTGGAGCTCTGGGAGTCGTGCCGGCCACTCTTCCTCTAGCGCAGCTTGGGGACTGTGTCACAGACACTGACCTGCAGGCTCCTGCTACTCCAAACCGGTGTTCTCAACCTGTGGGCTGAGATTCTTTTGGGGGGTGTTGAGCAACCCTTTTCCAGGGGTTACATAACATCTATCCTGCATATCAGTTATTTACATTACGATTCATAACAGTAGCAAAATCACAGTTAGAAAGTAGCAATGATGTAACTTTATTTTTGGGAGTCACCATAACCTGTGTTAAAGGGTTGCAGCATTAGGAAGGTTGAGATCCACTGCTCCAATCTAGGGAGAACCACTCTGGCTCTCTAGTCCTCCCCATGATGGATTAGGGTGGGTTTGGCAGTCCCTTTGCTTGGGAGGGCCTTTTTAAGCAGGTGTAGAGAGATGAAGCGCTGTTTCACTATCCCTTTCTGTCCATCTGCAGCATAATACATATGCATGAAAAATACATAAACATGGAAATCATTCTGTCTATAGGGAAAACACATTAATAGCTATCACCCCTATATTTGACATCATGTCAGTTTTTGTGAACAAGTGATTATCATTTCTACATGGGTATAATGATGCTTCTAGTGAAAAACATGTCACTGTGTGCATAAACAACCCTTGAGGTTGACAGCTTAGGTTGTCAGACTGTAAGAAAAATGACTTCATAAATTTAAGAGAATTTAATTTATTCAGTGATCATTAAGTGTTGCACACATGAGTACCTGATTTACGCTTAATACTGTTGTCAAGGCTAGAGTCTAGGGGGTGTGAACAAAAGATGCTGGAGAAAGTTTACCTTCCTCTAGGGCCTGAAATACAGGGCTCAAGGACTTAAAGAAGCACCCTCAGTGAAACAGTGTTGTTCCCATAAAATACTCTCCAGAGGAAACCAGTGAGTTTAGGATGCTCAGATGGCAATCCCATTGTGATTCCATGTTTCTGAAGGCAGTGGAGGCTCACTGGTCTCAGAAGAACAGACGAGCTGTGACTCAAGTTTGGAAGACTCCATAGTCTCAGGGGTAGTCTGCCACAGCAGAGGGCTCGAGATAAGCAAGCTGCCACTGCTATCTGGAGCAGAGTTGTTAGGTCATGTCGGCTGGGAAAATAAGTGTTTCAGTCTTGGCAGTTCAGAAGTGTCACCACCTTTCTTAAAGCTCCAGGTCTCAGAATCTTAGCTCTAAATGTTAAGTAGTTTCTGGGACATGGGCTAGCAAGGTATTTATCCTTTAAAGCTCCCTGCTGGTTTTGATATTCAGCTAATGTTGAAAATGTCTAGATTTCAAGTACTGGCCAAACCTAAGATAGCCAAGAATGCCTTGCCAAGGAGCTGGGTTTCTGACCCTCTGCCAGTGGGTATTTGCCCTCAGAAGTTTCTGCAATAGATAGCACGGTCAAGTTGGAGTTTGCCAAAATAAATAGGTTCTTCAAGGACATCTGAATGGAAGAGAAGTGGGAAACAGCTTGACTTAGAGTTTGTGATAGTATGAGAAGAGGCATCACGTTTTAAAGTGTACTTGGTATGCGGGAGTTGGTGATACCAGCCTTGTCTAGCACAGTCGACTTCATAAACTAATTATATATCCTTCTCTCATTAATTTGCTCTCTTTTCTCTTACAGCCTGGCATCTTCAGCAGTAATTTCAGCCACTCTGCATTTAATGGAAGAAGACCGTCATCTGCTCATTACATGTCTAACTCAAAATAGTAGGTGAGGTTATGTGTATGAGGAATACGCCCTTTAACATAGTCATTGTAAAGCGTTTAATGACCTTGCCCATGTGCAGTAGCACAGCCTCAGTCCTGCATGAGCACTCCAGGACTCAGAGTCACGTGTGTAAGGTGGTTAGTCGTCAGCAGGCTTTTCTCCAGCATTAAGTTGAAACTTGAAGCAGGTGTTCTAAGTCATGCTATGCATGTTGATGCTTTTCAGTTATTTAAGTGGGGGAATCACTTTCCTGGTGACAGATTACAAACCTAGCCCCTCTCTTCCCTGTGCATATGCTTCCCTCTCCCCACAAGTGTTTGGTGCAGCCCCATGCTTCCCATTAGCTCATCACCTGCTGTGTCACCAGTCCTGTGCAAGAGTGTGAGCAGACCCGGAAGATGCGTTCTCCAGGGTCCTGGCAAGCATCTCTGCTTGTGGCCTCAGAGATGATGGTTGCTTAAGTACACCACACTGAGGGCTCCCCAGACCACTTGAGGGCAGAATGCTTTGGAGCGCTTTTCTTTGTCTTTAGTTGTTTACACTGCTGACAGTGAGTGCTGAGAGTAAGTTCAGTCGTGAAGCTTTGCTGTGATCCCCACCCTTAAAAGGTTCCACACTGCTGCTGAGGGGAGTCAGTGGGTAAGCACTTGCCTGTGAGCATGAGGACCTGAGTTGGGTCTCCAGAAACCAAGGACATTGCTGTGTAATCCTGGTGGTGGGAGCAGAGACCGGATTCCCAGAGCTGGCTGTCCAGCTAAATGTTTTCAAGCAGAGTTTTAGGTTCAAGAGTGAGGTCCTACTTCAGTGAGTCAGGTGGAGATTGACCAAGGAAGACACCCAATGTCAACCTCCGGCCTCCATGTGTGCACTCTCACATGATAACACTCAGGGTGTGCCAAATGGGGGTGGGAGTGCTCCCATCATGACTTAGTGGATGTGTTCTTGGGGATTCTGTAATACTGCACTCAAGGCCACAGTTTCTACCATGAGCTTTTTGACTGGTGACAATGAGGTCATCGTTCCAGCAGTATTGCCATACTTTTAAGTTACTTCTGCAATAGATAAATTTAAGTTTTCATTTACCATTAAGGTTGGCTGACTGTGAGGGATCTGATAGAAGAGAGGGAGGAGAAGGTACCTAGTGTTTACCCAGCCCACTCTGAGCAGTCTTCATGTGGGTTTTGTCTTAGAACTCAGTTTCACAAACAAGGAAACAGGATTGTTTCTCTCTGAAGCACGAAATCAGTGCAATAATAAAAACAAGTTTTGGTTGCAGGTTGGTCCATCTGAAAAGCCTGTTCTTAGATCTTTATGATTTTATTTGTTAGGCTATCAGTGAACTTAGATCCAGGTAGTTGAGTACAGGCTTTACCTCCATCACTGACAAGCTGGAGCACATGTATCAGATTTCTTCAACTCCTATCATCCTCATGAAATCTTCTTAGTTCATTATCCTCATAACTCTGATGGCTGTGAGAATAATGAACTAATGAGAGTCACTGCAATATTACAGGTAATTTGTGTAGGTTTTATAGGATTTTATTTTTATTAGTGCTACAAACTTTTCAAAATTGGTGTTTGTTAATATTGCTCGAACCAAACGCTAATGAACCAGAGTGCATTGGTATGCTCTTACCACCTCCCTGGTCAGAGTATCCTGGCCTTTCACTGAGTATTTCCTGCCATTTGTCAGAAGTGGCCATTAGCACCCAGGCCACATTTAATAGATCTGACCTCTGGTTTGTGCTCACTGCAGTGAGGAGATGAGGTACCAAGTAACAGTATGTTGTACTGGACTAGAGGTGACGTCATCCGTAGCTCAACTATTATTGCTGTGATTTGAAGGTTTAGAACAAAGTCACCTTTTGTAAATGTTTTTACAAAATTGCTCTCCAAAATGATTTCAGATTTCTGGGAAACTTTAATGGTTTACAGGATAAAAGACACTGAGGGTAGTTACAGCTGTTCTAATCTATTTGTACTCCCTTCAAGTACACATGGAAGAGGTGAGAAATCTGGGCGCCTAGTAAAGTATAATAACAGTGTTAGGAAGGAAGTAGTGGTAATGCCAAGACATGCCAAGGTCATGCCAGAGACTTTCACAAAACCTTTCACATGACTAAGATCCAGGCTCCATTGGATACTAGCTGGTTTAAGCTGCTATGAAAGTAGGGGAACTCAGTTGTTCAAATAACTTTGGCTTCCACATCTGACTTTAGATGTGGTTGGAGCTAGGAACTCAAATGATCTCATCTGGACTCTTTTAGTTCTATTGGTCCCTTTATCATCTTTCAGACAGGCATATGTATGTGTTAGGTTGCCACTAACTGCTCGTCTGTCATTCTTTGACTTTAGTAACAAACTGAAAGATAGCTTGCCAGGCCATGTATTGTGCCTTCTGTCTGTGCCCTCTGTGTGCCTCTGTGAACACTCAGCGTGACTGAGAAGGACATATACTGCAGGACAGTGTGTCTTGGGGTTTGCTCAGTGCTATAGCGGGCTTTCCAGTGACTGTGAACCATGCTGGGTCTCAAAGCATGGAAGAGAGTTTCTTTCCTGGAGAAGTCTGAGGGGTGTGGAGACAGTCGGCCTGAGTGATGCTCTCTATTGGAAATGTAAGGACTACACACACACACATACACACACACACACACACACACACACACACACACACACACACACTCTTCACGATTCTGAGTAAGAACAAGTAAGAGGTACTCAACATCACTGTCCAGATGGAAACATCCAAATGAGACAGCAAGCTTGGCAAAGGATTTACCTTTTTTTGAAGTATGAAAGCCTGGGTTCTTACCTCATAAGTGAGGTCTGTAAGGCCCTGTGTCCACCCACGGCACCACACAAAACAAAACAAAACTGAAAATGTGTTTTGACTCACTATGTCTTCATCAAATACTGGCTTTTGTATTAAATTTTACTGGTGATGCTACGAGTTTCCAAAGTTACTTTCTTCTAAAGCTTAAAGAAGGTTGAAATTAAGAGACATTTTTTACTATTAGGGTTCAAGTATATAATTTTTGACCACGTAACTAATAAAGTACATTAATGTGATCCTTTCAGGTTTAAAAACTCAAATAGAATATGTGGCTTTAGGACGTTGTAAATGCTGTAATGTAAGTTCTGTAAATGCTGCAGGAGTATGAGGGTTTCCCAGCATGATACAGTTGGTTCCTTTTAGGAGCCCTGTCCCAACTTTATGAAACTGAAGGCGAGACATCTCTCACCCATTGAAAAGAGGCACATTTCTTACTGTAATACAGTAAGCAGAAACAATAGAGAAAAGTAACGACAGATTGCCAGGATGTTTTCTTGGCAATTATTTTCTTAACTTTTTTTTTTTTTTTTTTAAATTGTGCTGAACTGGATTCTCTGAGAGTCCAAACCAACCAGTTGCTGTAATGTGGGTTCCCAGGTTCAGACGTTGTACAGGTTATTTTTGTAGTTTTCTTTTGGCTCTGTTATATCAATGATTTTTTTTTTCATTGCATTGATTTTTATTGATTAAATTATTGATTTACTTTTCATCCCAATTGCAATTTCCCTCCTTTCTCTCCTCCTTGGCCCTCCCTCTCACCTCCCCTTGTTCTCCATTCTCCCCTTCTTTCCTTTTCTTCAGAAAAGGGGAAGCCTTCCATATATATCAAACAGCTTTGGCACATCAAATTGCAGTAAGATTAAGCACATCACATCTTCTGTTGAGGCTAGACAAGGCTGCCCAGTTAGAGGAAAGAGATCCAAAGGCAGGCAATGTAGTCAGAGGCTGCCACTGCTCTTGTTTTAGAAGTATCAATGTTTTAAGTTAGAATTCTAGCTTAAGTGTCTCCCTTGCAAATGAAGGCGCTTCATCTTACAAATGAAGGCGCTGAAGTCCAAAGAAGCCTTCCTTACCTGTGTTTTACAGCCAGTGCTGAGGGTCAGGAGATAAGCAGGCCTCCTGGCTGTGGTTGATGATCTCTACAGGAAACTCTCCAGGGTTCCCAGGGTTCTTTTCTCCAGCATTGTCTTGTATACAGGGCCCTAATTCAGTGCATTAGAGCCAGTTGTCAAATTGCAAGTTTGTGTTTAATTTCTTGAAGCTGAGGGGCTTGTGGAATTAGAACCAGCTAAGATATAGTGCATAAATGGCAGGAAGCATGATAAAATATTCTTTATCAGACTCCAGTTCTGCCCTCTAAGGAACTCTTTTGTTTGCTCTTCTTTGGGACTCAGTTCTGCCTTCTAGACGGTTCTTCCTGCCCATTGTTTTCTAAGTCCATGCTTATGTGGACATTAGGGGATGTGTACTTTGTTGGGCTTGAGGTTTGCTTTCAGAGAAGCTTGACAGCACTTTTTCACAACGTCACCATGAATTAACTTGGCAAGCAGTATTTTATAACATGTTCTGTGACTATACAGTACAGCTGCCTTTCTTTCTGCCTTCACTTCATCTCTGGCTATGTGAGCATTTGCCATTCCTTTATTTATATCAGCAACTCAAGAGATATTGTGGTTTCATTTTGGGGTTTTGATATCATTAACTGCTGTGATAAATAGCCTCCAAAATGCACAAGAACTTAAATCCAATTCAGATTTACTGCATTCATTTACTGCTAGTAAAACTATATTAGAAGCATTCCTGGTTAATGGGTGACTTTCAACAATGGTACTTTGAACTTTCCAGGATGCAAGGGAAAACCTAGAAATACCTCCCCTGCTTCTGAAAAGCCCCTGCTTGGGCACTGACACCCAGTCACTTCACTGAAATACTTTTTAAAGAACCATTTGTAAGGCTACATCTTGTGCTGAGAGGAGGGCTTGTAATGTGAAGTCTGGTTGGATAGCCACTTGCAGTGACAGCTTTTTCACCATGCCAGGGGAGAATGGCATATCAGTAGTACCATGTTGTACTTCTTAAGTATTTCCTTCCTGTTGTGCTATATATTCTTCTATGCTTTGTAAATTAATATTTCAGCATTTAAAACTAAAACAAAATTATATTACTATCT